GCCCCTGCCCGCGCTGACAGGGCAGGTTCCGCCCGCGCTGAGGGAAACGCTCCTGCCCGCCCCCGGCACTGCCGAACCCCGGCGCTGGGCTAGGGGGAGCGAGGGAACCACTGGAACAACCACCTCCAGACCAGAAAAGGTGTCGGCTTATTCTGCTTTATTGTAATCTTTTAAAAGAGTTATGAAACATGCTTTCCTCCCCCCTTAACAACAGTGAGGGTTCTTTCCGTAAAGCTAAGTCAAGATATTGTCTCTTGTCCCCTTCTGCCCACGCAGGGGTAGTGCTTCCGACACCCTACCTTTCTCCCCCGTCTCTAAGGTAATAAAACACTACAGGAGTGAAATACAGCATATTCAATTTTTTCTAACCCTCAGCAATATTCCAACATTTCCATTTTTCCAACATTCATTTTTTCCAACAACAGCCAAGACTGACCAGTTGAGAAAACAAGAAAGAGTAAGAATTAAGAAATGCTCCCTTCACTTGCAGTTGGTACAGCTCCACTTCAGTCCTCCAAGAACTTGGAGCGAGTTATTCACAGAAATGGTGCTAGAAACTGCTCTGTGTCTGCCTTACAAGTTACATATTGGCACTAAATCACACTAAAATCAAGTCTGGTCAGCTTTAATATTTAGGTAAGTCTTCTGCAAAACTGGCCTGTGGTTCGTCCAAGAGAAAAGACAGTCTAGGAAATACACACAAGATACGCCACAAAAAATGGCTTCAAAAGTTACAGAGAGAGCAGAGGTTAGCTATTAAGATTATATTCTGATTGTGGTATATTTTGTAGGAAGTATCTTGTTTCCTTAATAAAACAACAGTATGACAAATTTTACACTTTTAGCTTTAGGAAAAAGAAAGTTATAATTACTAGTGCATCATTTTATTTTCTTTCATGTTGCTTACAATCAGCAATTAGGATGCTTAAGTCCCCATATAATAAAATTTAGCATCTCAATCTTGTCTAATACTATTGCAATGCATTTCGTGTTCTTAAAATATAGGAGTGACTATACATTCAATATAAAAGCATTGTAATTATGTACATATCAGCATATTCAAACAAATACAAGACTTCCAAACACTTTTATTTAGACAGATTTGATGGGTAAAAGAACATACGCTGTCCTACATTCCATTTTCATAATCATACAATAAGCCACAGCAGAATACAAGCTGGAAAAAAGTTCAGTCAGTATTTTCCATTAATTGATAGTGACAATACTATTTTGATTTGCTGGCACTATGCTTATGTACACTAATCCTCTCTGGGAGAGGACTGCAAGTGAAATGTAAGTTCCTAGTATGAGCGAATAGCAGGTGGGACAGTTGAGCAGTCTTCCTCATTCAAAGTTCTGTCGATCACAGGTCTGTATTTCAAGGTAACCTAAAGTAACGGAGAACAACTTTAAGACAAATAAATCTCTTGTATCTAAACAAGACAGCCTAGCTAACAGGAATGACTGAATAACACAAATAACTGACTTCACTGATGTTAAGCTAATTTCTCCATTATTCTTTTCCTGAAAATGAACAGTTAGTAACCTACAAGGAACATTTAAGTTCTACCAAGTTACCACTGACTAAATTCATTAAAAGCAAAGCCTGACCAGAAGTGGTAATCAGAAGATTACTACTTTAAAAAGGCCTTTTGGACAAAAGTGAAGTTTTGGCTAAGATTGCTAGGGCCTAGTTCAGAAAGTCTTGGAGACTGAGACCACAATGGATCAGTTGAGAGACAAAACTGTGCCACTATCTTTTTGGCCATAGCAGCTATTCAGGAAGTGAAGTGTTCACACTTGTCCTCAAACTAGATTCAAGGAAGCTGGAAGTGGGGGAAAAGAAACAGAGAGGATTCAGAGAATATGATACAAAAAAAACCAACCAACCCAACCACAACCCGAAAAAAAAACAAAAAAAAAAGACAGCCCCAAAAAAACAAAAACCAAACACACCAATGCTCAAGATTTTTACAGGGTCAGATTTCAGTTCTACCTCTGAAATACCACAAAAACTGTATGCTAAACATCAACAACAGGTTTTGCCACCATGAGAGGAAAAGAAAAAACTTGTCTGATACAAGGGGAAAACCAATTTCAGTTGAAATCACAAAGTCATTTCCTAGAGATCAACAGTAGCTTCTCCCAGCTATGCCTACTGTTCAACAACAGAATAAATTGTTCTTTTTTTTTTTTTTTTTGCTCTAAGTACGCTAAATTGTATCAGGTACCTCAGACAGCTGCAATCATTTGCAGTATTATCATGGTATCAACAGCTGTCTCTGAGAGCAGCTGTCTGTTGACAGGGAGAAAGTCCCTCAAGGATCAGGCTCAACGTACCTTCCCAGATGGGACATCCACATATGAAAGGGTGTGCTTTCTCCAGTGCTCTTCAAATGGCTTTCGCTGTTGGCCTTGGAGCGGCTTAGAGTAGTCAAACTCATCTATCCGTAACTTAAGGAGAAAATTAAATTAGCATAGACCAGAAATTGCATCTGCAAATCACTTTATGACTGCATGATTAGCTGCATTCCAATTACAACTGCAACACAATGTGTCTCCTAATAGCCAGCAAGCTTTATCTCAGCACTGCCCATGACAATTTTTAAAGCCCTTGTTAAGCCTCAGTATTTAAGGTAATGTTCCTTGCATAGAACAATTACTCTGCTTGAAGCCCTGTTTATACATTCATGACCTATTATTACTATAATCCTGGTTTAGACCTCTCTGATCATTCAGATGTACACATGGAACAACTCTTCTCTCAAGATCATTACCGAATGTTGCACGTAATGGTCATTTTATATATATAAACAAATAAGAACATACAAGAGGGAGCAGATGGAATCCCAAACAAATACTACACTAATCTTAACTCAAGACTCTGAAGACTGTTCTTCAAAGAAATTACAACTTTTAAATAATCCATCTGAGGGCACATAAGGAAATTCAATCCTATATCCAGGTCACAGAAGATATTTATACCTTGTAGTCCTCTCTGGCATGAGCACCCCGGGACTCTTTGCGAGCCTCAGCACCGTAAATGGTTTGTAGAGCACAAAGCATAAGGTTTTGCAGTTCGAGGGTCTCCACCAAGTCAGTGTTCCACACGATACCTAGTAAAATATTAAAATACCATGGAAGGTGTTCTACAAACAAGTTATTCCTCAATTTACTTCTGTCCTATTGGCGATACTTAGAATTGAACTAGCCAATGCTCTACCTACTGCAGTCACAGTACTCTGCAATACTGAATTACTCACTGTTGCCTGCAAAGCTCAGTAACAATTCCTACAACCTAACAATCGTAAAGAATCTTAGAAAAATTCAGTAGTTCTACCAGGTGTCCCTGTTGCATGTGTACTACTGAGACAAAATTACACGACAGAATCTTGCCCACTTTATATCATACCTACAACTCAGATCACAAGATCTGGCTAGATGGTAGCTCTTGAAGTATATCCCTAGCAGATTCCGACAACAGGGCTTTCCCTCCCTCTCCCTTCCTCAGAGAACAGAAAAAAAATACCTGCTAGTTATATAGGGTTCTTCTTAATTTAAGTATCTCTATATTTAAGTGGACCTGAGTTCACTTACATGAATGTATCTTCACTTTGATCCCTACATTCTAAGCTATCATAACGCTTCTCTTGATGATTGGCAAAAGCTGTCCAGGAAAGTCAGCTCTACTTTCAGTGTTAGGATAAATGTCCAACAGCAGTAGTTGGAGAGAAATACACAACGTGAGGGGACAAACGGTACCTATCAATTGTACTGAATTAACCAAGTTCTCCTAAGATACACTGCAAGACATGGCAGTATCTGTATGCAGTGCTATCTGCTCAGCTGAAGAATGAAAACTGACTGTTCAACCTGTGAATGTTGTGCCATCTTTTTGCAACTCCCTGGCCTTTTCAAAGATTTTTTACAAAGTTCATTGTAGTATTTGAACAACTTTACATCATGTTCTGAGAGAGCAGCAGTTAGTACCTTATACAGTTAAGTCTGATTTCAGTATCTGCTTCTTTCAAAGAGTTCACAACCAGAAAATGACAAGTACTTTACTGATTGCCATGTTCAGCAAGTAGGTGTCTACAAAATATTTTGAAAGATTCAAAATGGTCAAAGTCTTTAGCCAAAGTTTCAAAACACATACAAGAAGCTTTAGAGAAGGAAAAAAAATAAATAACTTTTCCCAGAGAGTACAAAAGTGTATTCTCTGCTATCAAATTACCTCTGTCAAATGTCTTTAGATGAGCCAGATCACTATAAATTTGGCTAAGTTTTTCACAGCCTTCTTGAAGTACAGAACCAGTACGAAATACAGCAGCATGGTTTTGCATTGCCTGCAAGACAGTAAAACAACATCAGTTGCATATGCTGCATATGCATATCCCACATAACTTCATTAGTTCCAACAGAGCTTGATATAGAGCTGTTTTGCCTTCAAACATGTCTGCAGCCTGAAGAAAAAAAAAAACATTCTTCCATTCACCCCAAACAGAGGAAACCCCACTTAATGGAGTGGGTAAACTACCCAAGAGGAATAACCATGAAGGGAAGAAGAAACTAAAAGAACAGGTACACCCTTTACCATGAACAATCTTCTCACACTGACTTTCACTTCACAAAGCAAATCCTGAAGTGTACTTTACAGAGTGACCGAACCACCTCCTTTGCCTGCAGCTTCTCCTGCTTCAGAGTTTCACCAGGCTTACCTTCTGCATGTTAAGTCGCACTTCTGAAGTTCTTATGGTTCCATTAGCAAATCTTAATTTGTCAAGATTAGCAACTGACTCTTCACCAGCATTTGGTTTAATGGAGGGAACTGGCTCTCCTAATAAGAAAATTTCAGTAAGTTTAGGTGACTGGTTTTGGTTTCTGGCAGTTTCATAGACTAGCAACTACTAAAAGTCAGATTTAACTAAAACAGAGTCTGTTTTCTTCCTCTGAGGTACAGGTTAACTATAACTTTCCTGAACTCCCACCAATAGTATCAATACACTTAATAGAGTTCTCAGTGGAATACATGAATCACATTCTTTACTGAGACGCTTAATAGGGATTTTATAGGTTTGGCTAAATTCTGCTGTTAATTCCTTAAAAACAGCACTTGATGCAAATTATTCTAAACTATGGAATAATCTCGTGGCTCCTTCCCACCTTCTCCTATAATTTTCCTTGTCTCCTTACCCGCAAACCTCCTCCCACCCTCTCTTGGACCTGTGAAGGGACCAGTCAATAAGCTTGGCAGTTAAATGTGAGCTCTGCACCTTACCTCTAATACTGGAATCCACCTGTCATTGGGTAACAAACCACACACAGCATCTCACCAGCACACTCCATCTCTCACATAGCTTTGCATTCAGACTAATAAAAACCCTCCTGCAACTAACTCAAAGGAGCCACAGAAGGACTGATTCAAATAAATCCTTGCACAAAGCCAGAGACGATAGACACTGCTAGATTCAAGCTGATTACTCAGGAACCATCACTCTGCATTTTGTGCAGAGTCAGAGTCAAAAAACAAACAGGCTTATTAATCTGGACATTAAGCAATGAGAAAATGGATGACTACTTCTGGACTTTGGCTGCTCTGGCAATATAATTGCCTCTTACAGTATCTTGTTGAGGTGGGTTTTTTGGGGGGTTTTTTTATGGTTTTTTTGGGGGGTAGGGTTTTTTTCAGCTCATTAACTGTTGCTGAACCAGATTACTGAAAAATAACATTCAGCAGTGACAATCCACATGTAGGACATGAGAAATTACAACTTTTAGTATCTATCTCTTATCACTTGCATGTGCAGTCCACCTTATAAATCAGCAAGGTGGCAGCAAATTCCACTATACGAAAGTGCCAAGTGTAAGACAGGCTACCTTTTGCTGTAGAAGACGCAGTACAGGATGTAGAGAAGTCAGTCTTCAGATTGATATTCTATTTTGCTCATTAGAGAAAAATTTCAACCATTTTTGCCCAATAGCATTGACCCAACTCTAGTTTTAAGAAGATGAACTCACAAAGGAAATCTAAACGACAAGCTTTTGCACCACGAGAACATGCCTGTAAAAAGCATAAATGCTGATCTCTGCCTTTTGTAACAAGTAAGAGTGTATATCCAGCATTCTGAATTAGGTAGCAACAACTCTCTGCTGGGCAGAAGTGAAATCATAAAGGCAAACGTCTCTAAAAAAGTTAGACTTTTTTAGACAGTGAGACTTACCAGGCTTGCATGTCTCAGCAATAGTAAGGGCACAAGCACGACCAAAGACCACCAAATCCAGGAGTGAGTTTGCTCCAAGACGATTTGCACCATGGACAGATGCAGAGGCTGCTTCCCCACATGCATATAAACCAGGTACCACTTTATCCTCACCATTCACATGTGTAATCACCTATCATTTCAGACAGTCAATTAATACTTATTTTTTAAACAATTTATAACAGTGCAGGCCTCCTTGTTTGCAAAGGCTGTGTGCATGCAAGGATGAAACACAGCAATCTAAAGTTTTCTCCAACTAACCATGAATACTTTAGTTCTAAAGGGTAAGTAGAAACACTCTATAAATACGGATGGCACTAAAACCTAAAATTTCTTTACTTAGGCTTATGGTTCTGTTTCATCACAATTCCAGAGCAAGTCAGAAAAGCACAGGAAGAAAAGTCTGATCTGCACACATTTCTAAGGAAAATTTTTACCTTAAAAAAAAAACAAAAAACAAGTACAATATTCTGAAATAGAAAAATTCAGCTGACACCACCACATTGACTTCTAACTAGTATGAGCTGGAGGAATCTCCTTTAGTGTAGAGATTACATAAATTACAGAGAACTAATATACACTAACTTAACTTATAGATTGTAATAGAGACCTAGTTTAATCTTTGTTCAACTATATTACCCTGAACTTGATAAACAGAATTGTTGTCATTGACATGACAGTAACTTCATCTTAGATGTTTCCTTAACTCTTATCTCCAGTCCAGAGGGACTGGAACATGATTATCAAGTTATTGACAAAACCAAGCCAGATTATGTGTTTCAAGTACTCTGACATCATTATCACAATATTGTTATTACTGCTATTAATCATCCTTACGTTTATGAAAAACGTTAATGCCTTTATTTGAAAAATCATTTCCCATTATTATGATTAAAAAAAATACTAAAAGTGATGTATATTACTCACCTGTCCTTTGTAGTTAGTAGGAATACCTCCCATGTTATAATGCACAGTAGGCAGAACAGGAATAGGCTCTTTAGTGACATCAACTCCAGCAAATATCATAGCTGTTTCTGAAATTCCTGGGAGACGGGTAGCTAGCTGCTGTGGTGGTAAGTGGTGCAACTGCAAGTACACATGGTCTTTTTCAGGACCACAACCCCTACCAAAACAAAATTCAGCATTGGAATACATAACAGGAATTCTGCAAACACCGGTAATATTTCTAATATAATTTGTTTCACTTGTGAAAAATTTTAACTATTTTAAAAAATTAAAAGTTATCTGATAAAAATTAGTATCTGGCATATTTGAGAAGACTGCTGAAAAGAATTTAAGTGTATTTTTCACCTCCCAGCTTTCTTTTCAAAATAATTCACAGTACTTAAGACTTTAAACCACTATATCACTGCAGAAATAAGTAAATATTTAAGATAATTAATCAAGAGAACAGAGCACCAAAATATTACCATTGTTTGCAGTCAAAAGCATGTACATTAAACTTGTTTGACCAACTGCTTCTAGATGCATCGAATTCACGCAGGGGATGTCTAACATCTGGTGTTCCCTTTTAGTATCATAGAGAATTAACCAGCAAAATTTTTGTGCTACATGCAGTGCTCAGCTAACAGTTATTAAAACTCACTCCCATAAATTATCAAGTGTTTACCAAATGAACTATTGCACTGCATATGGTTTAGAATGATTAAGTATTAATTCTGCAGCTTCGTTAGAATATTTAACTAACCTTCCTTCACGGATTTCTATGGTCATAGAACGAGATACTACATCCCTGGAAGCCAGATCCTTAGCAACTGGTGCATATCTCTCCATAAATCTTTCACCTTGACTGTTAATTAGAATACCTCCCTCTCCACGACATCCTTCTGTTATAAGGCAGCCAGCCCCATAGATACCTGTCAAGAAAGACAATAACCATCAAATTATACATTCTCTTTGATATTCATCATCAGGACAACCAGGACTGAGTAAACAAGGTTTTCTTAAAAAAATTCAAATGAGTCCCAGGAGTAGATTTTATTCCACCCTAATGATACCACTAGTAACTGTCTCCCAAGACTACTCAGAAACAAGTACTGTTATTCCTTTCAAACACTCTTCCTGGAAGGCAAGTTGATTTAGAACACCCACAGTATCTAAAACATTAGAACTAGAAGAGATTGGCGCACAGCAATATGTAAGAACACATTTACAAAGATTTTTGCAGACCTTCAGCAATTATTTTTTTCAAGATTTTTAAGTAAACCAGAAGTTGATTATCTCAAGGCCAGTTTGCTCATCTTTGTTCCCTCTTCTTCTATGCTAAGGCAGTACAGGGGGGCTTCAAACTGTGTGGGATGTAAAAGCCTACTCAGGAAGTCTTATTTTCCTTTAGAGAAGGAAGGCATACCTGTTAGCCTTCAGCACTGGTCATCATGGAAAACAAAAATGTTAACTAACTCACGTACTTGATAATCATGTCAAAAGCTATGGAATTATCAGACAAGCAATGAAGCTTCTTTGACTAGAAAAAACTTAGCTAAGCCAAATGAACACCAACCTCTGATATAACAAGGATAACACTGCAAAATTAAGTGAACAATTAAAAAAATCACCACTTATCACAAGTTAAAACTAAGCACTTATTTAGCTACAACCAAAAAAAGCAGATCTTTAGTCTGTGACCATTGCTGTCCACAGTTTAGATACTGATCCTATGCTATAAAATTACAGTGCTAAATATATACCCCTACTTCAATTACCGCATTTCCACAAAATAATCTAGTGTGTAACTGCCTAATACTTGCATTATCCCATTGCTCCTGTATCTAATACCAAACCCTTTAATATTTGAAAGACAAGAGGAAACTAACTTTAAGAGGTGAAGTGGTTTCAGCTTGGAATTCATAAAATGTATTACCATAGGTAAAGACAGCACCTTAAAATATTTAATATTGGCCTTTAAATTAGAACAGTTGAAACCTCTCTCTCATATTTTAAGTCTTACTCTCAGATTTATATTCCACAGGAGTTGCAGACAAGTCTGAACACCCGTCACAAGCAACTGATGAAGTGCGGCAGCAAAGTGCAAACTGACTCGACCACATTTAAAACAACAAAAAAAATCTGTTCAAATAATTAAAAATAATGTTGTAAGTATTATTTCATATTCTGTACCTGTAGGGTGAAACTGTACAAATTCTAAGTCCTGGCAAGGAAGACCAGCTCGTGTAACCATAGCAGTGCCGTCACCCGTACTAGTATGAGCAGATGTACAACTGAAGTAAGTGCGGCCATATCCACTAAGGACACAAAAGTTACCAGAATTAGCAGTAAAAAAACCCAAAAAATACAAACAAACAAAAAACCCACAAAAAAAAACCCCACAACCACCACCAGAACATACCACTCAACTATGCTCTTTTCACAACAGTGGAAATAGAGCAGAGAGTTAATAAGCAAGATGTGGAAGTTTTGCCATCTCCTGTACTAAGTTCAACCAAAAGAAAACAAAATTGGCATTGCTCTGCTATGCTCACCCACATTGGAAAAAAAACTGGTGACAGAAGGTCCAAGAAAAAGAATAACAATTCCAAAGCAGAATAGTTAGGTTAGCATCAGAAACTTTTTTTCCAGAAAAAAGTTACCTCAGAAAGTTCTCTCAATACAATACCATTCAACTTCATTTGAACTATTACTAGCAGTTTTATGACAGTGGTTTATATCCTCAATATGGCCCTGATTTTATACTCTTAGATTTCAAAACTTAGCTGTCTAAAATTAGGTATTAAGTATGCATTCTTATGCCTAAAAAAAAAAAAGCTTAGCTTCCAACATTACTGAGAACTGACAATATTCACAATTACAGGAGAAACTCTCAGAAGAAATATCAATCTACCTATTGTACGTACCTTAAAGTACGCAAGTATGAATACAGCCTTGGCTTTAATAAAGCCAAATTATGTAAGCAACCAATCTAAATATTTTTCTTTGACAGATTTTTATAAATGTTTTGCATAGTGAAACAGATAAGAGATAGACATAAGCAGCAAAAGACTAATGCATATAATATTTTAATAAACATATACAAACTTTTGCAACCACGTAATGTTAAGTTACGCTCATCTTCTGATAACTTCATCCTACAACAAGACTTATAATGTTGGTATCAAAATGCAATAGATTCTCCATAATTTTGAAAAAGGCAGGTTCCTACAGGCAACTGGGAACCCTACAGATACACACCTGTTGGTAGCATTGCAATGTTTTAAAAATCTAAGACATACTGCTCTTACACATTCCAACTTTATGTCATTGTTCTAGAATTCAAAGTTAGACCTTATACTAAATTTATACTCGGTCACAAAACTAGCATATGCCTTATTTCAGAGGAAGTGACTGAATTCAATTATATTGCTTCTGATGGGGCCGGGGGAAGAGATGAATATATGAATTATATTTTTCAAGTCAACATGTCATCCCCACACTGTGGATTCAAATGCACGTACAAACACAGACTTCCAACTAGTAGCACTCTCAAGTTTCTGTCCTTCATCATAAACATTACATTACCCAGTGGCAATGACAGTGTTCTTTGCTCTAAAACGATGTATAGTGCCATCTTCTATGCACAGAGCAATAACACCACGACATTCTCCATTTTCCATAAGTAGGTCCAATGCAAAATATTCAACGAAGTAGCTTGTATCGTATCTCAGAGACTGGAGGAAAATGAAAAAAGGAACTTAAACCGAAGTAACCTCTCTTCAAAATGGTCAGTGCATATGGGCTGTATCAGGATAAAAAACACCCCCACCAACTGTCAGGGGAAGCCAGTTTCTTCTCAAATCTTTATAAAAAATTGCTAATGAATCTATTCTAGCTTAAAGAGACAAGTAGTTACCAAACCAGTTAATTCTGAGAAGTCACAGATAGTCAGCAAGGCTTGTTATTTGCCCCTGCACGTGGCAACACTTTAGTTAGCTGTGGTGCTTGATACATGTACAAACACATTTTGCTTAACTTCTCGCAGAGAAGTGGAATACACGTCCGGGAGCCTGGTTTACCAGCAGAAGCAGCCGGCATTAAATCAAACATTCTTTCATGCCCGCAAGGATCAGACCAGTGTTTGGCAGCACTGAGCATTTGCATTGCAGCAGCATATATAGTGTGAACACAAAGGAGAGCAATTTGCTAGCTACTAAGTAAATAAAAAAAACATTAGCTACTGGGTACTTGATTTCAGGTTTCAAGTAGCTTACTGCCGTTTTAAAATAACCAAATCTTTCTTCAGTGATGGCTTGTAGAATTGATAGGAACGAGACACTGGAACACAAGTCACTTACTTGCTATCAAGCAAGCTCGGAAATGCACAGTAGGCCTTCATACATTTACACTTCATTTCTCCCTGCTCCCTGTTTGAAGATGAGTGAAGGAAAATGCTGCCTTGTACCTCTTTTCAGAGTTCCCCAATGCTGCTGTGAGATTTTTTTGAAAAAAGATTTTTGGGGAGGGTTTACATAAATTCTCTTTGGGTCTAGTTAACAGACACTAAAATATTAACAGTGAAGTACTCCAGACCACAAAGGTAACAGGGTACACTAATTAACAACTGTTGTCTTCATGAGAGCCATTATAATTACAATCTTTCAATTTATTCTATTTACGCATACTCCTGACAAAAAACAAGCATCACCTAGGCTACATCCTTCCACTCCAACCCGAGGAAGGAAGGATATCCAGAACTGTTATTATTCCCCTGGATTCCTCATTGATAGATGAACAGCTACACATTTGGTTAATTCAAACTCCAGGGGAAAAAAACAAAAACAAAACCACAAAAAAACTCCAAACACAACAAAACATTAATTGCAAATACAAAAACCCCAACCAAGTTTATTTCACAGCTGCTTACCCTGCCATACAGAGTATGTAACAGTGAGTGTCCTGTCCTGTCTGCAACACAACAGCATCTGTGAGCCTGTCCTCCTTTTCCAAACTGAAGGCTCTGTCCACCAAATGCACGCTGATAAATTTTTCCTTCTTCAGTTCTGCTGAACGGCATTCCATAATTTTCCAGCTGTTGCACCCAAATACAAGCATCAGAAACTCTTTCATAACCATCCCACAAGTTTTTTTATTATGTTTCTACTAAGAAGATCTCTTAGGAAGCTAATCTGTGTTATAACTACAGTTGACATCAGTTCCAGTGAGTCTCACCTCTATCACTGCAGCTGGGGCTTGCTCAGTCATGTAGTGTATGGCATCCTGGTCACCCAGCCAGTCAGACCCTTTCACTGTGTCATAGAAATGCCACCTCCAGTTATCATCCTCCATGTTTCCCAGGGCAGCATTGATTCCTCCCTGAAAATGAAAATGTATTTTTGTGGGATTATATTACTAAAGTCCAGTTTCAGTATGTTTTCCTCATTTCTCTTCAAAATTCACATACCATTTATGCCTCTATGTATAAGAAATACAGTAAAGTCAGATCTAATGTGACTATGAAAAACCTGTGCAATTTATCAGTTTCACAATGGCTCTTATTTTGTTCTGTTTTGCATAGCAATGAATTGCAAAGTTACACTGAATGCAGTGAAAAAGCACTGAAGAGAATTCAACCATATATTGCCCTCCAAAAGAGTTTCAACTAAATATGTAATATTTACAAAAGGAAGCATGGCCTTGAAACATGATGTTCATGTCCATATCCCAATCAGTTTTCTGACAGCAGGTATTTTTTAAACATTTGTTCTACCTCATTTCTCACCTGTGCAGCAACAGTATGAGATCTGGTGGGAAACAGCTTTGTAACACATGCTGTATTAAATCCAGCCTCTGACAAACCAAATGCAGCCCGCAGACCTGCTCCTCCTGCACCCACAACAACTGCATCAAATTCATGGTCCACTACTGGATATTGTGTAGAAATCTGGAAAAATAAATCAGTTTGTTATGATCACAGATATTTCAAGCTAGGTCAAACTTAAGTTTCATGGAGACACAAGCAGTATAGGTTTAATGTCTTTAGCAGACTCCTGTAGTGCATGTGACATCTGTTATACACTCTCTTGGAAGGAAACTATCATTAAAAAGCTGCATTCCAGCAACTCAGTCTCACTATGTACTTTACCACAACACCCCACTAAAAGCCAAGTACGTGGCTGTTTCATGTCTCTCAAGCAGTAAGTGTTTTATCTACTCTGTCACTTAAGATATAAAAAAGTACAAACATACCGAATCAGAAACCTTCGTAGAGACATTTTTCCTTCCATAGACTGTGAAGTGTAACTTGCGTGCAAGAGTCTGGCATGCCGCTGGCCACTATGGAAAGAAGTTAATACAACTATCACAGGACAAACGTTTCCACAAGGAAGACTTTCAGCATTCTCGACTACCCTACATTTACAACAAGCCTTTATTTACAGTGGTAAGTAAATACGCATATGTTATGTAAATATGCAGTATGATACCACATATTCAATAATATTGTATCAATGTATTTTAGAGCTACATGCAATGAAGTTCTGGCTTTCCTATACATACATATATACACCCAGAAAAAAAAGAAAAAAAAAGTTCTGACTGGATGAGAGAACAGCCTGCAAGCAACAGGGTGTCACTCACTTCACTAACACTAACCAGTCTCTCAGGCCTATCTGAGGCTGCACCAACAGAAGAATAGGTTTGCAATTAATGCTGTAGCATTATTGCCTTTTTTCATAAGTAAAGAAAGATGAAGACAGCCTTACAGGAACCACAGGAATTAATGGAAAATACCTCTAATGCCAAGCAATCCTCAAAACTTTAATTATTTCGAGTAGTCAAGAGCAATGAAGAGCAAAAAAACAGGTGGTAAAAAAGTTTCAGTTCATCATTGCTTGAAAAGCCAGACATCTTTTTCTTGTTCTCATTCTCCATTAATTAATGGCCAATTTAGAACCATTTATTAATATCTAAATGAAGGACAAGGGCACAGTTTTCCCCTTCTGTGATGTTACTCCCTCTCCCCTGGCATGTTCAAAAAGAAAACAAAAAACCCCACCACCCAAACCTACCCAGTATCCAGTCTTTCCTTTGATGGGTTAAAAAAAAAAATCAGAATTTTAGCCATACTAATGACCTGTGCAGCGACATCAGCACTTCCCTATTTGAAATATATCCTAAAATGCACTGGAGTGATGGTATTTGCCTTTTCCAGTAATAGTTATAGTCATGGTTCAATCATCCTATAACACACACACTAACAAGCAGGTCTTCCCTCCATATCACTTACAAATGTTCTTCTCTACCCTCATCCCTGAACTACAGTACACTTCACTTGACTTAGTTTTATCCTCTCTCATACTAGCTTCTTCAAATTATCTTCTTGCATAACAGTGAAGCTAATGTGTCATCATATTTGCTAACACACTTCTGGTTTTTACAGCCATCTTTAAAATACGATCAGTCTTAACACCTATCCATAAGGAGTTCTGCTAGTACCCTCCTCCAGGCAGTTACCCTCCCTCTTTGACCCTGCTGTGTTATCACACTTTGGGACAATTCCATGCCCATCTTAATTCCTGTATTAATAATCTTCATTAATACTTCCTGTACAGAATCAGATTGACTAGTTTGCTGACAGCCAGATGAAACTTAAGCATTAGATATACTTTATCTGCAAAACAGCTTTCCCAACAATCACAGATGAAGCTAAAACGGGGCGTCCTCTCTGTCACAAATGTGCTGTCACAGGCCTGAGTGCAGCTGAAGTTAGACTAGCAGAACTCCAGCTGACAGGCCAGGCTGCGCTGCACACTTTAAATGTGGTGGCCATGCATTCTCTAGAATGTGCTACTACCGTTTCCTTCCATAATGTTGTTCGAACAACAGTACAGCTCTTTTTACTACAATAAATTTTTACTTGTAAGTGAACAATACATTTGGTTATTGCATAAACCACTTCAAATAAAATATTTACTGTATGTAAAGACAGCACACAATAAACAGGTCTGCACATACTCAATATTGCTTAAAGAAGTGCAAATGACTGAGGGGAAAAACATACAAAATAAAACAATCCCTCTAAAAGCTATAAACCCTGGTTATGCCCTAAAGCCCAAAGCAAAATTGACCCATTTTTTTTCTCCCCTCAGAGTAAACAGTCTGCTGCAATCTCCAGTCAGAATACTGCCAAAACGCCTTGCAACTAATTTCCTTTTAAAAAAGTTGCTATTTTCTGAATTCGCTATAAACAAGTTACCAAACATATTTTGCATGAGAGGACTCTGGAAATACATTATAAAAAAACAAAGCCACAGAACTGTTTGGCAGATTGCTTTTCTTTTCTTCTCAGATCTAAGCTTCCGCAAAACAGTTTTCAGGACTGCTATTCCCCTCCGCATACACTTTTTTGTTAAAACTATACAAAGGAATTTCTGCTGCCACTAAGTTTTGTCCAGAATGAGTCTGCACAAAAGTCCAGAAAGCAGAAAACGATGTTACACTAAATCTGAAATAAACACTGATCACACGAATCCTATCAGGAACATCACAGCCCTTGTGAAATTAAAGGTCCAATCAGGGCCAGTTCACTGCCACCAAAAACATAATGACACTCTTTAAGCCTTTCTCCCTCAAGGTAGGTTATCATTTCTGCACCTGATTTATCAGACAGGGTAAACTACAGCTGCGTTACAGGGTCCTTTTCCTATGCATTTGTCTTTGTAATCCCAAGATATGGACACACACAGCAGAAACTGAGAACTCCCACTTCACCACAGAGAGAAACAAGCCTTCACTGAGGACCACTTACAGATCAGCCAAAACAAAACCATCGAACCTAAGAAGCAAGTCCTGGAAGCAACCGCTGGCCAGATTTAAGCAACATGCGGCTATACACCAGTTTCTCACGCAGGTCCAGAAGGAGCCAGCAGTAAGCTTTCTACCCAGGCGCTCGGATGGGAAGGTGCTGCACCTGCCAGACTTTTCCAGGGCTGTTCCCCAGCACATCCCCTACCCGGTCCCCTTCTCTGTCGCTCAGGGAGCCTCCTGCTCACAACCTAAAACTACGGCGCTCGCTTCCCCACAAGCCAGGAGGAGCAGCCTGGCCGACAGCCAGTTACCTCCCAGCAGCCTTGCCCCAGGAGCAGAGCAGGCAGGACAACCCCGCTCCGCAACAAAAAAAAAACCGGAGAGACTGACCCTGGCGACAAGGCAC